TGAGCATAAATTTTCTTTTTTTACGTCCGTACGTACTAAATTGTACTACCGTACTGTACTAATTTACTATATACCCGCAAAATGTATGATCATGCATGACGTACGTACGTACGTGCATACATGCATGATAAATCCAGACCAAAATGTTATTACGTCATATATAAAATTGGTCCGGTTCAAAAATACCTACCCATATTTATAAAGCAAGAATAAAGTCGCGTGATTTAGAGAGCTTCAATTTGTCCCAATTTGTCGATGAAAAAATGAAACCGGTTTTCCGATATTTGAAATTATCTTTAATAATACAAAAAGTTTTTTTATTATTTTTTTTTTTTTCGACAGAACGTTTATACAATAGATAGGTCGATAACTCCTGCTACGCAATGATATACCTATAGAAAAATTTCCACGTAAATATAAAAGGTTGAATTATTTGTATATCAATATAATCGGTGTGTATTTACATTAAATCGATCTATTTTTATTGGTCGAGTTCACTGGTTACACGATGATAAAAAAACGGAAATCATTAAAGGTAAAAATTACACCCATTTACATGTTGGAATTCCGTTGAGTAACTTTGGCCGGAACTTTTCAAATTTTCCTTTATTTCGGAAAATTACTATTAATAGAAATATAAAGCATTTTGCTCATTCATTTTTTTTTTTTTTTTTATTCAGTCATTCAAAATATGTTAATATACAGAAAATTAAAACAAAGTATTTTTATCCGAATATTGTAGGAAGTGGAGTTTGAACGTTCACGTCTATATAAATAACATAATAAATAATTAGTAAAAATTCCTTTTTTCTTTTTTTCGAATACCAGCAAACAAAGCAATAATTATTTGTGAAATATAATATCATTACAGCGCATTTGCATTAGTCAAAGATATAAAAATGCGTCATTCATCACTATTTTTTTTTTAACCATTTCTTATCACAAATAACAACTATTGTAGATCACATAATAACGTCTATTCTATAGGTACAGGTATAATGCCGTAACTTTGAAATACGGTATTTTTCGTCGTAATTCAATATCATTACGGCATTATATCTGTACGTCTAGTCTAATCCATCCATATATAGAAAGATGTGATCTATGATAATAAATGGTCAAAAAACGAATACTTTTTATGCCTTGGGCTAATACCTAGATTTTGCAAATGCAGTTCTGACAGCCATTTCCTCGCCAGACCATTTACCCTACATTACGCAACTGACATGTTGGGGAAATGACTATCGGAGAAATGAAATTTAACCGCTGAAACGTCATAATTAGAACAAAGAAAGTTACGTACTTTCAAATATATATGAAAATTCAATAAGAAAATTATTTTCATCGTAAGTTAAATATTGTTCACCTATGTTTTGCGATATAATAATCAGAAATAGGCTCAATTTTTATATATTCTCAAAAAAAAAGACTCCTACCTTCTATTACTGTATCTCTCATTTGATCGTATAACAAGCCACTTCCTTGGCTCACTTTATCCTTTTTTTCAACATTCTGTACAGGCAGGAATTTCTTCTTTTTCTCACATTCAGTACATCGAATTTCGTTCACTTTTCCTCCTTTGCATTTTTTCTTGGATTTTTGACAACTAACGCAGGCAATTGCAGTACGTGACTTTTTGTTCTCAACCCACTTCATAACGTATAAATTTGGAAAAAAGCTTATTTGTAAATTTCATCAAGAAAGTTGTGTGAAAATAACAGCAAAATCGTATGAATATAATTTTGCCAATCTTTTATATTTAGGTCAGACAAAATAATAATTTTAATTCGAGTAACATAAAGCAATTTAGTCTCTTTTTTCGCCAAGTAGGCAAAAAAGTTTATATAATAAATGTAAAGGGTTCACCCAAAAGTTTTATTATAAGCCATATAAAAAAAAAAAAGGTCCCTACATTAAGCAAATGTTGATCAATTCAAGGGCTCACCTCATCTCCAGACAAATATTGTTATAGGGTATGTGCCTGAAAAATGATTCATAAAAAATTATTATCAAACAAATAAAACAAAACAGATAAAACAGATAAAATGTGTTTCTCTATGATAAAAGGCACTTTAAGAAGTGAGTACAGTATAAAAAATGATGCCTATTAACTCTTACAGTACCCTAAAAGTACCTATAATCCGTAAAAAAGTCATTGTATTATGGAAGTCTTCCCTGTAAATTTTTTTTATAATACAATACTTTGTATGGTGATTTACTATAAGATTTTTATGGTGAATCAATTTGCAATGCCTTGTAGTGAAAAAAACTTTACAGAGAAAACTCCAATAATATAATGACTCTGGTGACAGATTATAAGTGCGTTCAGGGTATTGTAAGAGTTAATAGGGATCATTTTTTCGTACTGCAATTACTCATTTCTCGAAGGGTCCTTTTTCTCGGTTCGATTATCATGCCCTGAATAATAGTTTATGGGCGTAAGCAAATATTTTTGTTACTGGTTATTAATGTTTATATTAAAAAAAAACAGGTTTGAAATAATTTTTTATATAATTCGCGCTGCCATTAACCGGTTTGTTTTATTATTCTGTAATTATATATTATACAATTGCGCAATTTTCTGATCACATCTTTATGAAACATCAGTCACATAATGATAAGACCGATAACTTTGGTAGTAACAATTAATTACGCAATGTATTATATTTTTATGCAATATAAAATCGATAATGATAAATTATTATAGTGTCTCTTATCTGTTTAATCATAAACATAGTACAGATAACATAGTGATAAGCACTAATAGAGATTATGTCAATTAGTGATTATAAATCATCAAAACGTAAAATTTAAATTTCAATATTTCTTGAATTAGTGAATTTATACAAATAAATTTATATTTATTAAATTTTTTTTAATGCATTCTTTAATATAACAAAGCCTGTTCTTAGAAATCACTTGATCTTAATAATTGTTTTTTTCTGTCTAGGCATACAAACAAATGAAAATGCTTTGGTATTTTAAAGAGCGCGTTAGAAGAAATCCAATAAATGTATTTTGATTTGTATATTCGCTTTTACAAGATATTGTAATTTGAATCTTTAAAAATCATTATCTGTCATTAGTAAAGCATTACATCAACTGTGATATAAGATACTCAAATAAATTATGGTTACTAAAATGACTACAACAATTATAGGGATTATCGTGTAAGAAACACCCATATGCTGTAGTAATTATTCATGAGTTGGATCATATGTAGGTTTTCTTTTGCCAATACAGCAATACAATACGCATAACTGTACGTATCATGTGACACATGTCATGTGATCAGAAGTACATTTGTGTTTTAACGATATAGAAGATTGCAAGCCCTGTGATTGCAGGGCCCAAGATTGGATAAACATTTATCAAGTGATTGTATGTTTTATAATTGGTAGTAGGAAACAAATGGCAAAGTTCAGAGATACAGACATTTACTTGATGAGATTGTTTTTTCTATATAAGATTTCTTATTTTCACATTTTATAGGCAATCCGTTTGCTTTTCTGCAGATTCCATAATATTCATTGTGTTTGGGAATCTTTACTTTGTAACTTGAAAATATCGTGGGAAGCGACATCGTCGGGAGAAACTCTGGAATTTCAAATGCTTCTATTTTAAACTGCCTTACAAAAAATTATAATAAATATTTGTAACATGTTTAAAGAACTTTGGTACTATAAGCATTCCCAGAATTTCAGGATTCTCATATCACCAACCCTACTCTGCTTGACCAATAGAACATAACATACTACGTATATAATTTGTATTAAACATCTAAAGGCCAATCTTAAGAATTCTGAATATCACATACGACGGAAAAAGTAGATGATCATATTGTTTATTGTTTGCAAATCTGCACGCTTCAGTACTTTTTTGTACACCCTTAATAAAACTAGTTATATTTGAAAATGGATATTATCGGAGTTATTCCATATCACCACTTTCTCACAGTTATGCCTTATGCACGTCGTAAGTCAAATGTTTAGCATAATATATATATATATTTTCTGTTTATATACAATAACATAATTGTATGTACTTAGTTCTTAGTTGTTCTGAACTATTTACATTTTTTTCACTTTTAGTTCTTAAGCAACAATACGATATATACAAGGAACCGGACCCTACAAAACATCTCAATCAATACCCAATGTATATTACAACTTATAGTTTCTAGAATGTCTAGAATGTCTAGAATTAATTTAATGTTCTTAGAGGGTTCGCTGTGATAAAGTTAAGGTTATAACATAATACTTAATTTCTTTTTATTAAAAATTTATTTTATTTATATAATTCTGATTATTTTGATTTGACTGCATAAAATCTAGGCCCAGTAATTTATTTAAAAGGAAAGCGCATAAAGTAGTAGGACAAAACTATACTTGCCTTCACAAATAAACGCTTATACAAATTGCCTTTATGAAACTGTGATAACTTAAAAAAAATCACATTAACAAGTAAATATTTT